GGTCCCCTTTATCCAGCTCCCCGTGGTTCCTGCTGGGCCTAAGGCTGTCTTGCCCACAGGCCGCCCCCCAGAGCAGGGCAGTGGGTCCCCCACAGGAGCCTAGAGGTGGCCTCGCTGTCTTGCCTGGAGGGCCGGGGAAGGGGTGGGGGTGTCCCGGAGTTCACAGTATGTTCACGTCCACAGAAGAAGGAAGAGGCACTGGTCACTTACCGAACACTGTGTGCCAGCCCGTATGTGGTCCGGGCCAGCCCTCACGTCCCTCCTATGGGTGAGGCCAGCTCGCTGCCCCAGGGCGGCAGCAGGTCTGGGGGAGGGGGTGCTCAGCAAGTCAGAGGACTGCTCACCTGGAGCCCCGGGCCACTGGGAGATGCCGGAGAGTGGAATGTGGGCCCGCCCGCAGCTGCCAGAGGGACAACAGGCCTAGCGACTGTTCTCAGGGCCAAATGGGCCGGGTGAAAGGGGACTGAGGATGAAAGGTGACACCGTGGGGCGGGCTCATCTTGTATCTGGGCTTTCCTCTGCTGTAGGCTCCCGGGGCAACCCAGGCGGGGCAACCCAGGCAGGCCGCCCGCCCCAGAGGAGGGGCCGCCTGTAAGAGCCCCTGCGGTCCCCACACCCCCTTGCGAGGCTCAGATTGGGAGTGAAGCAGTCAGGGGTAGGAGAGGAGGGAGAGAGAGGTCTAGACTCCGCTGATACCAAGACGATGTCAGGGCCGTGATCACCCCACTTTACAGATGAGGAAGCTGAGGCTCAGGATGGCCAGTGGAACACACGGGGGAGCTGGGCTAGAATCAGTCTTTTTTTTTTGAGACTTATTTATTTATGCATACAAGACCTGGGGTTACCCGCCAGAGGTGTGTGGGGTGAGAAGATTCACCAGAGACAGAGTGGGGAGCAGAACAGGTGGATTGACTGAAATACACTGCTGAGGGGAGCAGCAGGGGAGACAGGAGAGGTCTGCTGCGCCATGAGGGTTGCTCCCTGGCTGGCCAGGGATCGAACTCATGTTGCAGAGGCTGCAGATAGCTTCACAGTGCGGTGCTTAACCCTTTGCGCCACCAGGGAGGCCCTAGAACCCAGTCTTAATCACACTGCCGCCGAGCACCTACTGTGTGCAGTTGTCTACAATGCTGGGTGGGGGAGCCGGGAGGAAGCTGGCGGGAAAAGGACCTGGGGCTGCTCAGAGCAGGCTTCTGGAGCTGCAGGGCCTGAACCGAGCAGGTGGAGAGGGGCCACCAGTGCGCCCCGTTCTGCCAGGGTCTCCTCATGACTGACAAGTAAGTCACTTGTTATCTGTTGGGCAGGCGCTTGTCCCAACAGTCTGGGAGGGCTTTGCCCAGAATGCCCCCAGCAGGCCGACTCCCCTGTGACCTCCCAGGAAGCTCGGGAATCCGGAAAGTTCAGCAGCACAAAGGCCTGCGTGGGGGAGGATGGAGCATGCAGGGCCCCACAGCAGCTCTGGGCAGGAAGGGCCTTTCTCTCTTGTTTCTCCCCACAACTGCCCTGGGGCAGGGGGGCTGCCTCCCCCTGCCTGGGTCTAAAAGCACCCACGGGTGGGTGGGGTACCTTAAGAGGGTGCCAGCCTAGCTCCCGGAGGCAGGGCCTCGGAGACTTACTTTCCCAGTGTGGCCATTTTCAGGCTGACCAAGATAGACAGTCACTCTGGTTAAGGGCAGGTAGAGTGCACACAGATGGCATTCATTCATTCATTCATTCACCCACTTTTCTTTCCTGCAAATATTTCTTGAGCCCCTACTATGTGCCCAGCCCTATACTCAGCACTCAGGAGCCAGTGGCCCTGCCATCATGGTGCCCAATAAGACCACTGGCCGGCCAGCCCTGGGAGGGCACCTCGTGTGCAGGGACCCCTGTAGCCCTCCGAGCAGCCTGAGGAGGCTTCCTTACTCCCGTTTCACAGACGAGGACACTGAGTTAAACTTAAACTTGCACAAAACCCCATATCTCTCTGCTCCTGAGCCTGGTCACCCCCACGCATTTCCACCCTCTCCATCAGTCCTGTCTTCCCACCCTGCCTGTGGGGAGGGCAAGGCCAAGACCCCATTTTATTTTATTTTATTTTATTTTTGTTTTTTAAAAGATTTATTTATTTATACAAGAACCGGGGTACAGGCCAGATGCATGGGAGGGTGAGAGGATTCACCAGAGACAGAGCGGGGAACAGAACAGGCAGACTGATGAAACACACTGCTGAGGGGAGCAGCGGGCGAGACAGGAGAGGTCTGCTGTGCCATGTGGGATTCTTGCTGGCCGGCCGGGATCGAACCTGCACTGCAGAGGCTGCAGACAGCTTCACAGTGCGGTGCTCACCCGCCTGCACCACCAGGGAGGCCCCAAGACCCTACTTTTAAAAAAGGAGTCGAGCTGTCAGTGTAATGGGCTTGTTTTCGGTCCAAAAACATGGCTTCACATCAAGAGCGCTGGGCAGGAGAAATGTGACCAGGGTCAAGTCCCTCCTTAGAGGGATACCAGAGATGGCCGGGCTAGGCGTGGAAGCTTCCTTCCCAACCAACACCCTCAGGACGTTTCAAGTTCGCCCTCCGTGTGGTCATTGTCTAATCACTCAAAAGAATCACAAAATTTCAAAGGGTAATATGGTCTATTTGGGGCAGACGGCTTGCGGGGGAGGCTCACGTCTTTGGGGGGGAACAGAGCTGGCCACCTGCAGAAAGGGCACCCACTGGGTGAGAGATGAATGCCTACTATGTGCTAGGAGAGTGGAGAATGAGAAAGCCCACAGACATGGGTGTGAGTCCCAGCTCCTGGGCTTCCCAGCCTGCTCACCGTGGGCTCGTTACTTCACCTCCGCTTTGCTGCATGCTATGAAAGTGGGGGGGCTGCATTTGAAGGTCAGGGGGCAGTGTGGGGGTTTCTGGGATACTCAGGACAAGTCCATTGGGGAAGCCTGTCCTACAATAGTGCTTATCTCATGGCCAAGGGAGCTCAATTTGCTGCAGGAGGCCGGGAGGGAGGGCAGATTCTCCTGGGGAAGTCGGGGGCCTGGAAGGGTCTCTGATGTTCTTTTCCAGATGGCAGGTGTGCCCGGGCAGAGCGTGGGGAGAGTACGGTGGGGGTGTATGTGCGAGCAGTAGTGAGGGCAGAAAGAGAAGGGCAGAGGGGGGCTGGAGAGGCAGGTGGGGGAGAAGAGGAGGCTGATATTTTGGGGGGTAGAATAAATGGGACTTGGGGGAGCAACAGCACCTGAAACAGGTGATCCCAGGGAATGGCTTAGAGCCGGGCCAGCGAGGAACGGGTTTTCCATGCTTAAATGGCTGGAAAAAAGTCAAAAGGAGAATAATGGTTTTTGACTGGTGGAAATTATATTGAAATGGCATGATAGTGTCCATAAATAAAGTTTTATTGGAACATAGTCGTGCCCATTCTTCACCTATTGTCTGTGGCTGATTTCATGCTCCGATGGCAGAGCTGCGTAGCTCAGAGAACAAGCCTGTGGGTAGCAAAGTCTGAAATAATTACTGACTGGCCCAAGCAAAAAAGTCTTCACCCTTGTGTGAGGGAGGGTCTGGGAGAGGCGGGCAGTGTGGGGGTGTGGAGGCAGGAGGGGCAGGGCCCGGTGACCAGGCCTCCTGCCCTGCACAAGGGCTGAGCTTAGGAGAGGGGCAGGCGGCAACCAGAGTGTTCGGGGGGAGTGACTCGCTCCTGTGCATGTCGGGGAAGTGTCGCTCTGCTGGGCAAGGATGACGGAGGCGGGCCAGGGGCACCAGGAGTGGGAAGACTGGCTGGAGGCAGCTCCAGGTGCCCAGAGAAAGCCTAGGACCACTCTTGAGGGCATTTATTGGAACCTAGTCTTGAGGTGCCTCTGTGCCCACCCACCCTCCCGCCACCTTCCCTAATGGCTGGGAACATGCTTGCTGGGTACCCAGAGTGCCCTGTAGGACGCATTTGCAGAGTGGCAGGAACCGTTGGAAGGGCGGGAAACACGTGGAGGGCGCCTTGGTGGCCTGAGCATGAGGAGCCACGGTGTGAAATAGCGGGTGCTTGGGGAGCCACTAGTGATGGCCAGATGGCAGGAGAGGAGGCGCAAGAGGTGGGTAGAGACAGGGATTGAGGGCCCACAGAGGGGTAGGGAGTGGGGGCCACAGGTTCACCCCTGGAACAGCAGGTCCCAGGGTCGGCACCAGGCCTGGGGCAGATGCATGAGGGAAAGTGCTGGAAGGATGAGCAACAAAAAGAGCTCCTGGGCCTTGGGTCTGCGCACACTGGGGACCGGCCTGCACAGAGCGGGGTGGCCATGGTCATGGGCCGTGCTCTGCACAATACAGGACCGGGCCTCTGCACTGCCACGCGCGTGTCCACCCAATCACACTCGCTCAGAGCCAGGCGCGCACAAGCCCTAGAGGCCTGTGCACGGGTCACAGATGTGTGCCCCAGTCACGCCTTCTGGATCCACGCACACACCTGAGCACACATGGGCGCAGCACGCGCGGGAACAGAGCGCGCTGCAGACGCGCCGCACACACGCAGGCACACGCGGGCGGACACACGGCCGGGGCACGCGCCGCCGCAACGCGCCCCGCCTCCCCGCACACACCCGCGCAGGACGCACCGGGCCGTGGGCCGGCGCAGCACGGGCACAGGCGGCGCGCACACGCGCACACACACGCGCACACACTCACGCGCACACACGCGCACACACGCGCGGGCGGCGGCGCCGCGGCCGAGGGGCGGGGGCGGCGGGCGGGGCGGAGCGGGCACCTCTGCGCGCCGCGCCGGCCTCGCCTGCGCCCCCGCGCGCCCCCCGCGCCCCCTGCGCCCGTCCGCTCGGGGCGCCGCGGCGCGGGTGCACCAGGCGGCCGGCCGGGCCCCGGGACGGGAGGGGGCGGGGGCGGGACCGGCCGCGCCGCCCGCGATGCCCGGCGCCCGCCGCCGCCGCCGCCGGGGCCCGGGATGGGGCGAGAGGCTGCGGCGCGCGCCAGCATCTCCCCGCCGGGGACCGCGCGGGCCGCGGAGCCGCCGCCGCCGCTGCTGCCGCCGCTGCTGAGACCCCGCGGGCGATGGGTGAGTGGACCCCGCGCCCCCGCGCCCCCCGCGCCCCCGCGCCCCCCGCGCCCCCCGCCCCCGCGCCCCGCGCCCCCCGCGCCCCCCGCCCGCGCCCCCGCGCCCCGCCGCGCCCCGGGGGCGGCCCCGCGCCGGCCCCTCCCCACCCCCTCCCCGGCCCGGGCGAAGCCGCAGCCTCCCCCCTCCCCCCCTCCCCTCCCCTCCCCTCCCCTCCCCTCCCCTCCCCTCCCCCCCTCCCCTCCCCTTGCCCTCCCCGCCCCGCCCCGCCCCTCCCCTCCCCGCGCGGCCGGGGCGGCCCCGGCGCGGGGCTCCGCCGGGCTTTGTGCGCGGCCCCACCGGCCTCGGCGGGAGCGGGGCTCGGGCGGGAGGCCTCGGGCCGCCCCCCCCCGACCCGGGCTGCGGCGGCGCGAGGCCCCGGCGCTGTCGGGGTGCCGGGCGGGGCGGGGGGACCCGCTGAGGCGAGTGCAAGGGCACCCCCAGCCCTTTGCGGGGAGGGGGCTCCGGCTCTTCCCGCTGCGCCCCGGGGCGGGCGGGGGAGGGACCCCGCTGCTGCGGGAGGTGCTATAAATACCTGCGAAGAGTGAGTTCTGCGCCCAGAGGTGGGGGTGTGTGTGTCTGTGGGTGCCGGGGCTGGGGTCTGGCCGCCGCGCCGTGCTAGGTCGGGGTGACGCTGCTGGCTCTGAAAGGTGCCCCGAGGAGGGTGTGGGCAGGAACACGACCCCAGGGGGACTCTCCATGGCCCCCCCAGAACGGGCACCCTCAATTCCTTCCCTCCGGGACACCCTGCGTGGATGGGTGAGTTGCGGGCACTGGCCTGGCCCCTGGAGCTACCGAGCCCTGGCCTGGGCCGGTGAGGGTGGGGAGGAGCCGGCCCTGGCCTGCACCTGTGGGAGCCGGAACCGGGGTGCGCCAGGCTGTGTGAGCTGAGGAGGAAGCGCGGGGTCCTAGGAAAGTTTGAAAGAGGGGCTCGCCGGCCCCGGGGCGAGAACTTGCTGGAAGAGAGGGTGACAGGAAGCTGGAAGAGGAGAGGCTGGTGGGGAGGCAGAAAGGGCGAGCCGGCAGGAGCCCGGCGAGCGAGTGGGTGTCCCGAGAGGAAGCCGGGCCGCCTGGCCTGGGAGTGACCGGAGTGAGAAGCGAGGTGTGGAAGGGAGCCAAGGACAAAGCAGGCCAGGTGGCCGCCCCGGGAGCTGGCACTGGCTTTGCGGACAGGGCCCAAGTGATGCTGCCTGGCTCCTCTGCCTCCTTGCGGGGTCTGCTCAGCGCCTGGCAGTAGGGTCACCCAACCCCGCTGGGGAGCCTCCTGCTGCAGGTGCTGGACCACGGCGGCAGCCTGGGTTTTGAGCCTCAGTTTCCACATCTGTTAAGTGGGGAGACTCCCCCGAGGGGCTGTAGAGAGGACGGGATGAGAGAGGGCGCATGCAGGGCCCCTGCACCTGAGAAGCACCCGGGAAGTCGCTGGCTGCTGTGTCAGCACTGGTCCCTGTGAAACGGGGTCACCAGTGCCCTCTGGCAGGCCAGGCCTGCTTCCCTGCTGGTGGTGAGGATCATGTGAGGGTCGGTGCGTGCGGTGTGGGGGGCAGGCTCCAGGAGCAGAGGAGAGAAGCCGTGAGAAGTGGCAGGGGCCAGCGTGCACTGCACAGCCACCTCCTCTTGCCCCGCGGGCACCCCCTCACCTCTTGACCCCCCAGCCATGGCATCATTCTGGGGACACTGCTCTATTCCCCAAGATCAAAGCCTCTTTGTTTCCCATCCTGCATGATGCACCCCTCCTCCCAGCCAGCTCTGGCCCACTACATGGGACCAGGACTCCTTTCCAGAAGTTTCTTCAGACATTCAGGTCAACAAACACCATGTCCTGCTGTGACACACACCAGGCAGAGGAAACAGGCCTTGCGCTGGGGAGGCTGGAATCTAGCTGGGCAGCAGATAGCACTGGGCACCCTTGTAGTTGCCAGGGGGCTAGGGAGAGTCACACTAGTTACTGTGCTGGAGGAAGTTGAAAGCAAGGATTCCAGATCCAGATCCAGGGGCCGACCCATCCTTACTGCCTGACTGTGGGCTGAGCGACTGCTTCCTGGGGGGAGTGGGGGGGACACACTGCCGCCACTTGAGCAGCTTGGTTCGGGGTCGGTGCATGTTCTAGCCCCTGGCAGAACGACTGTCTCCATTCACCCCTGCTCCTCAAAGACCAGGAGCCTGCCCAGTCCACCATTGTCCATGTGCCTGAGCTTCCTCCTCTGCCTGTGAGTCCCCCGGCAGGGCCTGCCTCTATCCGCCGACCGGGCAGGGGGCAGTGGTGGGCAGGCGGCCGGCGCTCTGATGAGCAGTGTTGGTGATTTCCGTGCTGTGACTCTCCCCAGCAGGCTGACCTCAAGCTACCACCAGCTTAACCACCTCACAAAGGGAGCTCTCAAGCCAGCTTCAGCACCCAGGCATTCAGTAGGTGCTTAATAAATGACGGTTGTAAAAAACAAAGAAAGGCCCCAGAGAGTGTCAGTAGATGGACATGGGGAGCTGAGAGGGGGTGGGGGGAGGGGAGGGAGGCGGCCGGGCCAGAGGCCAGCCTGACCGTTGCCCATTTTCCTGGGACTCTGCAGCCCCTGACCTGACCCTCCTCCCAGGGTGCTCTTGACCTTGGCCTGGCCTCAGGGCTCTGCTCAGAAAGGCCCACCTGGACGCCATCATTAGTCAGACTGAGCCCTGCGATGTCCAGTCAGACGCCAAACCTCAGGTCCTGTTCTTTTGCCTACGCTGTTCCTTCTACCCAAGGTCTGTTCCGTCCACCCCTGCCTCTGCCCCTAAACCTCTCCCATCTGCTGCCTCCTCCGAGACGCCATCCACCACCCCAGATGACACAGACCCTTCTCCCGTCTCTGCCGCTGGCCCCTCCTCACACATACCCCCCCACCACTGCTCACCCCCCCACACACTGCGCACCCATGAAAACGTGAACAGCTGCGGGTGGCGTTGCTATGGTAACGCGGTGCCGCTGGGGAAGCTGAGGCACAGGGCAGCGCTGGCCCATCCTTCCCACCCCGCTCGGGCACGCCCGGGCAGGGCAGCCTCAGGAGCGGGCTCTGTGCGCTCACGCCAGCGAGCGAATGAGCGGAAGATTCTTGGCCCAGGGGAGCAGCTGCCCCGCCATCCCCCCTTTTCCACGCAGGCATGGTGGGGGAGCCCACTGCTGCCGGGGACCCCAGCAGGTCGCTCACAGGACCCTGCGCGGAGGGGAAGGACAGGCCCCTCGGGAGCGGGCGAGCGCCCGGCTGCTTTCACCCAGGGCCGCCCTCCGTGGTCTTGAGTGGGGCTGAGGGGCGACCCACGTCTCTGCCCACAATCCCGAAGGTGCGTGGGGTCCCACGTCCCTCCCTGCGCTGCCGAGGTGGAAATTCCCCTGTTGGCTCGCTGCTGTTCGTCTGGCCTATGAAAATAAAGCGGGAACAATAGGAGTTATTCACGCACCCGCACCCGCGCTGCTGGCTGTGCCTTTAGCACTTCTTTAGCTGAAGTCAAAGAAGCGCTGGTTATTTGGTTCCCGCTGAAGTGGGAACCTTCGTCCCCCCAACACCCCCACCCCTGGCCCATACGGCCTGGCTTCCCAGAGCAGAGGCCGCGGCCCTGACGGGCCTGGGGGAGGGTGGCGGGCGACGGTCTCGGGGTTCGGGTGGACAGACCGGCGAGGGATGACTTTCCAGGCCCTTCTCCCCGCCTCGCCTTCCGACCCCCGAGGAGGCGGAGTACCCGGCTGCTACTTAGTCTGCCCTTTGTGGAGACCTACAATGCGCCGGGCGCCCGCCAGGCTCTGGGTGCGTGTCGGCCTGGCGCCGCCTCCTGACCCCCGCGAGGTGGGTGCTCTCTTAACCTCATTTGCCTGTTTTCGCGGCCTGGATCCCGGGCTCGGGCCCCCGACTGGACGGGCTGGTGTAGCTGTGATGGGGCTGCCAGTCTGGGGGCCCGCGGCCACCCAGGGTCCCGCTGTCTTGGACTGCGGGGACCGGTCCCACCTCCAGGCTGCCGTCCTCGTGGCCGGGGAGCCACTGCCCCCTCCTGTGGCCCCGGGGCCTCTGCAAGGCCCGCTCAGTCTCACCTGGCCAGCCTGGGGACCGCACCTGGGTCGCAGGCCCCACCCACCCTGCCCCGTCCGCATGGCCTGTGAGAGGGAGGGCTGGACACCTGCCTTATAAATGCCGCCCTGGGAAGGCAGAGGCCGCGGGCCCCAGGACGCACTGCCAGACCCCTGGAGTCCAGGCTGCCCCTTCCCAGCCCCCGGCCCTGTTCTCCCCTGCTGCGCCCGCCCCACCCAGCTCTGCACACTCTGCTGCGCCCTCCCTGCTGGCCTGGGCGCCCCAGCTTGCTTAACACTCTAGCCAGAGCCCTCGGACTGGCCTCCTGCCCCCCGTGAATCTGGTGAGTGAAGGACGCTGGCCGAGGAGGGGGCCGGGAGCCGCCGAGGACAGGCAGGGGACGGGCACACAGGCACGCGCGGGGCCTGGCACCGAGCCTGACACAAGAAGGCGTTTGATAAAAATGTCTTAAATATTTGTTGGCTGGTGGCTGTGAGCTTGGTGGGTGCGTGCCTGTTCTGGAAAGAACGCCGACAGGCCGGCGGAGGCGCAAGGTTGGGAGGCACCTTCCCGCCCAGCGCTGGGCGGCGAATGTCAGTGGCCGGCGTTGATGGTCTCGGCTCGTGTGTAGGGCACTGATGTGAGCGGGGTGCTGGCTGCTCGCTCGTGATTTCACGCCAGGGCCTCCGGAGCCTGAGCAGCGGGGCCCAGCCCTCTGAGCTTTGCTGTGTGGAAGCTGCGTCCTGGAGGGGAGGGAGCTGGCTAGGGTGACACTGCAGGACTAGGGTGACACTGCAGGATGGGGCTCCGGAAGCTGTGGGGGTTGGGGGGCGGCACCCTGCAGTTTGCAGAGCCCTCTTGCACACTTGTGGCTTGGCTGCTTCTCCGCCTGCGCCCACACCCCAGGGCCAGAGGCCCGCGTCCTCGGGTCCAGTG